TGTGTTTTTAAGCTGATGAGATTGTGGACATTTTAAAAAAGGTTTTATGTATTTACTTTTAGGGAGAGGGGAAGGGAGAGGCAAAGAGAGGGCGAGACACTTCAGAGTGTGAGAGGGACATCCATCAGTTGCCTTTCACACGCCTCTCCAACTGGGGACCTGGCCCACAACCCAGGCATGTGCCCTGACTGGGAATCAAACTGGCAACCTTATGGTTCACAGGTCAGCACTCAATCCATTGAGCCATACCAGCCACAGAGAAACTGTGGAAATTTGTTACACACCAATTTGTGATAGAAAACACTAACACACTTTCTTAATTTTTCTTGTACTTACTTCTCTTAAATAGCATGCTGTGTTATACTTTTTATGTTATTATTTCACCTGTGATTAATTCATATTTTAAAGCATTTAATATTTTGTAATTGAATAAATGAATAAATGAATGAATACATTAACAAAGCAGACCCTGTTTCTATCATGGTAATACAAATGTTCAAGAAAGTAAGTGCAGGGAAAGAAAAGACAAACAGTAATCTTCTTATGTTTCAGCGGAAGAATTAGAACAAGTATATGGTAACGATGCTTGTTTACCCATCTGCAGTAGTCCAAAAATATTTTTAAATACTTTAAGATACCACTGATACCTTACAACTTTCAACTATCCTGAATAAGAAATGATCATGAATATTTTAGCCATTATAAATTTGAATATCATGTAAATGATTAACACAAGGTCACACAATTAGGAAGTACTAAGATAAATTTATTTCTCTTGAATGTAGATGACAAGCACTATTAGCTACATTAATTTGTCTATTACCATTGGGTTAATTTCATCAGGTTATAATCTACTTGCCTGCTGCCAATGTTCATGAGCTAGAAGAACCTGTTCAATTTATTGTCATCAAAACAGAAGACATCTTTGCTAATAAAGAAAAGATACTTATATGAAAATAGAAGTTAAAGGGAACTTGCTACTCTTATAAAAACAGTATCATCTAGCCCCAAACTTGTTCATTTATCCATGTGGAGAATATGAGCTTCTGACCACATTGATAATGTTCTGTATTTTAAGGAAAAGTACTAACTAAGTCACATGTTTCTTATCTACATTTTATAAGGTGAGGAAATAAAAACAGAAGAAATAAAGACTAAGGACCAAGCTCATGGTCACAAAACACCGGTAGCACAGTGATGATTATTGTCTTAGAGCTCTTAATTCTTCATGCCAAATAAACCTGAAGTCATATTTTGTTACTGTAAACATTTGCTTTTTGAAACTCCTGTAGCTTTGTGCAAAGTTTTCTAACTCTTATTTAAAAAGACCAATGATCTTAAAGGCTTCACACCTTATCTCACATTCAGTTACCTTCCAAGTTCTTCCCAGAGCCCTGGACCAACTGTTTCAGTTCTTTACTCCTGGCAGTGGGTGGTGAGTCAGCCCCTCACTGGGCGTCAAGCAATAGGATGTGAATATCTTGAACAGCTCATTCTTCCAATTCTCCTCCCTCCAGAGGTCACAGTTCAAAATGCAGATAAGACTTACTACCACTTTCATTTATAATTTACATTTATTATAAGTAAAATGGCAATAATTTTTTCTTGTATCAGACATTTTTAAGAATGTCTTATTGAACAGATTTTCTGAAGAATTATTAGATTGATGGTCTTGTTCACTTGTTTCAATTAGTTTGGAAGGTGTCATACCCTTGTAAGTTCTTTTCAACGTAAGCATCTATTTCATGCCATCAGACATGGCTTCATTTTTTATGATTTCATGATAGTAATTCCTGTTTGCTACTGTTCTAATACAGAGCCATGATAATTTTATGATTACCTTCTGGAATTGCAAAATTCTCCCAATAATTATGGGACTTATGAGTGGATAATGCCTGCTAATGGCATATGGCTCATTTGGATGCCTCTGATAGTTTCTCAACTGGACACTCTTTTTATTTCCTGTTTAATTCAAAGGCAAACATTGGAAGCTGCACACATAACAGGACAATTTTGTTACCACAAAGAGATGGGTAATACATGTGGCTTAATATAATACCTGCTCAAACTGAGGCAGGTATCCCAATGCAATAAAAGTTGGTATCGTGCGGTCAGACCAATCAAATATCTCCACTTTTAGTTCGACAATTTAAGGCAGAAAATATGACTTCACATTAAGGACAGCATTTTTATTAAAAAAAATTGTTTTTTCCAGTAACTTGAATATGTAGTGAAGTGAAACTGAGATGTTTTCTTGGTTCAGTATAAAGATATAATTGGTTCTATTACAAAGTAACGTTAGGGTTTTCACTTGGACCTTTACCTACAGCTCATCTAATGAATCCACCAGATTTCTCGATTGGGATAAATGATGTGCTTCTTCCTTATTGATTCTTAAAGTGTGATTTTACCAATGTGCAAGCAATATATGAGGTCTATCCAGAAAGTATTCAGCCATGTAATATGAAATATAGAGACATTTATTGAAAAAAGATAGAAGATATAAGAAACATTGTTGCTGGATCATAGCAAAGACCCATGACTCATCTCTGGTTATGACCTTCTTGAGGAAAGCTGGCTCATTTTGACTCAAGCCATTAATAACTGCACCACAATGTTCCTTGTGCTCTGTAGCAGAAGCCATAGAACACATTTTGCCATGACATGTTTCAGGAAAATTTCCTAAGTCAAAATCTTGGACAGAGTAGTTTTCACAATCCCCAGATCAGCTTCTAGGTCTCACACTATCAATCACTGAACTTGGTTGGTTGCAGCCCTTACACATTCAACATTCTTGGGTGTTCTGCTTGTTGCAGGCCTTCCAGAATGTGGATCCTTTCAAAAGATTCTTGACCATCTTTGAAGCATTTGTGCCATGCTTGTGTTTGTGCTTCACTTATTGATTCATCCCCAAAAGCCTTCTGAATCAGTTTCCCACATAGGAATGTTCAAGCTTTACACAAAATTTGATGTATATTTCTTGCTTTACTTGCTCAGTCAATTTGAATGTGATGGCCACACAGTATAATTGCTCACTCAGTGGCGTCTACCAACCCCATTGACTAGCACAGAGAAGTTGCTATTGTTCACACACATGTGTTCCAGTCCACTCTCCTTGGCTGCCAGGTTACATCGATGTTGCACAAACTATTCTTGTTATATTAAAAATGGCTTGGACTTTCTCCAGACTAACATTGGTATATCAAGACATGAACCACATTATAAAAACCACATAGTAGAGAAAAGGATCTAATTGTGCCTTGAGAGTGGATTAATATTGTTTGTTGTTATTCAGTTTTCTCCAAAGAATGAAATATTAATTATCAAGAAAAATGTGTTGGCCAGTAAGTAAAATAAAGAAGCACAATTAAACAAAAGGCATTAAAAGGAAAATAAGAGAATGTAGATTACTGTGGAAAATATTGTTAAAGAAAATTTTCATTTGCAATCATTTATAGAAATTCATGATAAAAAGAAACAAACACTAGCATTCTATATTATATATAATTATTGGATAATCAATGACCAACCATGGGTAACGGTGAAGATTATATATAAAATTGTGTTATGCTAAAACCCTTTCTATTGATATTTATAATAATAGTGTTTCAAGATACAAATGATGAAAATTTTGATACATAAAATATTTTTCTTAATTCAAGGCATGTTAAAAATGACATGTGCTATCTTGGGTTCTTCTGATCTGTCTTCTAAAATCCCTTAATAACAGAGAGGATTATTTCTATCTCAAAATATTGAGGTATATTTTCCCCCAAAGTAATTGTGTTGAACTCTACAGATCTATAGCAGAAGAGTTGCAAACTGATTTCTTTCCAGAGACAGCTAATTATGCTTTAAAGATGTACTATCCATCTTTAAACTCATTTTCTTGGCTTGTTCTATTTTTTAAATTTATTTTATTTTTCTTTCAAATTTCTTATATTGTTGTTCAAATACAGTTTTCTTCATTTCCCCCTACCACTGCCCCTGCCCAACTGCCAATCCTACACATCTTTGGTTTGTCCTTGGGACTTTTATGCATGTTCCTTGACCACCCTTCTTCTTTCCCCTGTTATCCCTCTTCCCCTTCCCCTCTGGTTACTGTCAGTTTGTTCTTTATTTCAGTGTTTCTGGTTATTTTTCACTTGCTTGTTTGTTTTGTTGATTAGATTCTATTTATAGGTGAGATCATGTGGTATTTGTCTTTCACTGCCTGCCTTATTTCACTTAGCATAACATTCTCTAGTTCCATCCATGCTGTCATTAAGAGTAGAAGTTCCTTCTTTCTTTCTACTGCATAGAAATCTATTGCGTAAATGTACCACAGTTTTTTGATCCACTCATTTTGGGGACTTAGATTACTTCTAGCACTTGGCTATTGTAAATTGTGCCTCTATGAACATTGGGATGCATAGGTCCTTTTGAATTGGTGTTTCAGGATCTTTAGGGTAAATCCCAGAAGGGGGATCACTGGATCTTAAGGCACTTCCATTTTTAGTTTTTTGAGGAAATTTCAAACTATTCTCCACAGTGGCTCCACCAGTCTGCATTCCCAGCAACAGTGCACTAGGGTTCCTTTTCCTCCACTACCTTACCAGCACTTGTTGTTTGTTGACTTGGTTATGATGGCTATACTGACTGTTGTGAAGTGGTATCTATTGTGGTTTTAATTTACATCCCTCTGATGGCTAGTGATGCTGAACATCCTTTCATATGTTTCTGTTTATGTTCTTTGCCCCTTTTTAAATTGGATTGTTTTTCTGGAGTGGAGGCTTGTGAGTTCTTTATGTATTTCGGAGGTCAAAACCTTGTCCAGGGTATCATTGGCAAATACATTTTCCCATACGGTTGGTTTCCTTTTCATTTTGCTGATGTTTTCTTTAGCTGTGCAGAAGCTTTTCATTTTGCTCAAGTCCCTTTTGTTTAAAGCTTCTGTTGGTTTGTTTCATTTTCTACTTCAAATTTTATTAATGTTTCAGATTCTTAAAGAATAGCTTTTAATACATACCTGGCAGGAGAGATATCATGATCATAAAGGTGGGTTTCCCAGGGAGAGGCTGACCCACTGCCCTCCAGGTTTGCTGACGTCTCTGATTTTCCCAAATGTTGGGAAATCGAGTGCATAATTTGTGGGAGTAGGTGGCTGTGTTAGCACTCTCCCCTGAAAAATAAAATAAAATAATATATTTTAATTAGGTCATTCATTATTCTTTAATTTGTGCATTTTGATTTTACTCATTCTTTTATAATTTCAAAATTATAAATATATCCTGGAAGTTCAAGTTTTAAACACATTTTATTTAAAAAATCTTAGTTACATTGCTACACTGATCCATCGTAATGAAAAGACATCAAATTTTCATAAGTAGAGGTCGTGACAGATATTTCCAAATTTATTTTATATAGTTATATAAATAGAGTTTATCAAATTAAACATTTATTTGGAAATGAAACATTACTATTTTGGATGATACTTCAAATTTTCAAGCAAAGTGTATTTTCCACTTCTGTGAATGTTTTCTGGAGAAGTTTCCATTATGACCCTCTCTTAAGCTTCTCTTTTTGGTTCTTAAATAACTATCTTTAAATTTTATTCAGTCGCAAGGAACCACTTGTCATCCTGTCAGGTTTGAGATTAGTAATTGAAATTATTTGCTACTATTTTAATGTTAATGTAAAATAAAAATATTAACACTGTTTTCATTCCTTTATTAGATGTAGAAAAAGTTAAACTATGAGAGAGTCAGCTGAGGGTGTAAAACAGAAAATTAAAAGAGAATAAGAGAAAACTTGCATAATATTCTCTAGATAACTCAATAATTAGAACATAGCTATTCTAAGAGACATTTTCTGATTAATAAGTAAGAGGTAGAAGTGGCATGAACATAAGTTTTTTACGTGTTTAAATGATTAATTGAAGAATCATGGAGATCAATAATTATGGAAGTAATTACCTAAAAATTGCATAACGTGTAGTATGTTTCTCAGTAGAAAACAATTATAATATCCAAATAAATGCTTGTATTTTATTAATGACATATATGCACATGTATATGTATATGTGTGTGTGTCATTATAACTGTAGAGTATATATGTACATATATATATATACACATATATTCTAGAGTTTGTTAGTTGATCTTGTAGCTTATATGATCTTTATATTTGTTAGTTAACTGATATACAAAAGTAAATAGAATTTTGAATCTAATATAAAGGAGACTGAAAATGATAAGCTAGATGTAAAAATGAACAGTGTTTTAAGTTTCAGTGCTTGTCATTCACACAGTCATATGAGAAACAAACAAGTTTTCTGTAGTCTTATTTCCCCTATTGGGCCTTGTGATTGGATATGCTTTTGCTTGTGTTTCCCAGTTTCTATGGGCCACCTTGGGGAATTAAAAGCAATACGAGAAGTGTTACTGGGGAAGGGGGACATAATTTACAAGTGAAATTTGGATAGTGTTCTGGACCAAGTGAGATAATCTTAGAAGCAGTAGAAAGACTAAAATTCCCTTATTTCTACACTGCAAAACAGAATAGCGGTTAGAAAAACTTTAAATTGTGAGAGAGTAAATTTTAACTCTACTATTTAATAGCAATGGCGCATAGTGAAAAGATCATGTGGTTTAAGGTTACTTAAGTATTCTAGACATTGTTTATTATTTTGGTTCTAAAATGGGCAGATAATAATATGTATTTTATGGTGTTGTTGGGTAGAAAAAATGATAAAATACTTTAGCATTCTGGTATATATTAAATAAAATAAGATTTAACCATAATTGTATATATGATAATTTATAAAAATACCAGACAAAAAACCTATAAGAATGCCATGCTTATTATTTCTTTACATATATATTTAATAAGAACACAACTATTAAAGCAAATATCTAAGGACTTTCAGATTATATTCACCTTTCATATAAACTCATAATTGTGCTTTGGTGTTTTCTTACTTGGTAACATATATCACTTTACATATTTACTCTTGTCCCAGCCCGGCATTCTTAGAAATTCGTCATATAATGTGTAGTTCACCAAACCTGAGTGGTCAGCTTGTTTCTTTCAGTATTCCGTCAGGATCTACCGGGCAGAAAACAGTGACTTCTAACCTTACGTTTGAATCCAGCAAAATAAACAAATTCTCACTCTTTAGTTTTCATGTTATAGAAGGACAATTTTCTTGACTAAAATCTCCCAATCACACACACACACACACAAATGTATTTACAGGGGTCTACTTAATTCTTTAACTCCAAATTAACAAATTATTTCTGTATATAAAATTTATTTATTAGAATCAACTTAAGAACTTTTAGGAATTTGCTCACCTCAAAAAGTTAGATAAAACAATGTGTAATTATCTTAATATAACTGATTTGTCCACATTCAAAAGCAATTATGTAAAAAACTCTGAATACTACAATTTGCTTAGAATGTAATGTCTATAATATGCAATAAGGATAATCAGAGGGGTTTTGTTTGTTTATTTTTTTCCCTGAAGAACTCTGGTTTGCCATTTCTCCTGCCCAATCTTTCTCTCTTTTGTATGTATCATTTCTACTTGCAAAAGGGAAGTACAGAGGATTTTTATGGGTTCCAAACTCACATTTAGGGCTTGTCTACTAAACAGTGCACTACTACAGCAGAGATGCAATCCAGACCCTTGTGGCCTTGAACTTTCATATATAGAGCATCTTGGTGTGATGCATTAACCTGCGCGTTAAAATCAGTGGTTCTAGTTACAAATGGGGCCCAGACACTCTCACCTGATTTTGAACAAATTAATTCAGCGCTCCAGAAATCCACACTTGTGAATGGAAGTGGCACAACTGTCCAGGCAGCGGCAGAGAAAAATCAAAGTCTGGAAGGGAGTCTCGCATCACAGCGACGTGAGCGGGGATGTTCCGCGTCCTGTCTGGGAAAACGTTAATCAAACACTGGGCAGGACGTGGTTCCAGAATAAGGATATTTGAATCCTGTCCTGTAGGTCCTTCTAGTGCTTTAAAATTTATGAAGCAAGACATAAAGTAATGGAACATTCATTTTGTAGTGATGTACAAAGTAATTTGAGGCTGAATAGAGAAAAAAGCACAATAGAAGACATCTGGAAATGACAGTTGGATTGAACATATGTGTTTATCTCCATTCCCCCATAAGACTCACAAAAATAACAATAAAGTTATAAAATAAAAAGAGACAAACTTAAAGAACAAACAAATAACAGCAACAATATGTGTAAGAGTGGAAAGAGAATAGAGAAGATATAACTAATTAAGAAAATCCATGAATGTTTAAACCTTCATGAAATAATCCTGGAAGAAGTCGATTTGTATAAGTAAACTCCAGAAAGGTTCATGAATAGCAAGCAGGCAGCTATCATCACAGACAGTGGGGGAGTGTAAGTGAGGGAGAAAAACAAGTATTATTTTGAACTATGCTTAAGAGGAAGATAAACATTTCTATCAACATGAAGAAAAATATGATCACTCTTTAAAGGGAGGGGGGCAATTACAGCCTTGTTCCTTGGAGTATGTGAAACATGTGAAACATGAAAAGAGAAAAACCACACACAGATGTAGGGTATGGTACCTTACATAAATAAGCATAGTCAGAGAAATATATCAACTAAATGGTGAAAACTCCAAGTCCCAGTTCAATTTCCCCACCAAGCTCAAAGCATTCATTAAGGATGAAGCATTCCTGTCAGAAGATTAAAATATCCTCTGCAGAAGGAAATACTATTTAACATTATAATTCAGAAGTTTATTACAAAACATGCATCTAAAATATTGTTAAAAAACTATTGTTAAGGAGATAAACTACTTTGTCACATAATAATAGGAAATTTACTTGATATATGTATATTTCATTATTGAAAAGGAAATATGCATATCTAAATTTTCAAACTCTAAGATATGATAATAACAATAGAAGTTGAAGAAGGAATTCAAGAGTAATAATTTCCATATTTAATACACTTTTCTGTACCAGGCATTCTGCTATGTGCTGTACATGAATTACCTTATTAAATCATCCCTCTAGAACTCTGTGTAAGTGTGAAATTCAATAGGAGTTTTGCCAGGAATAGAGTGGGAAATTCCAATTCAAAAAGGAAAATTTATTACCTTATATAGCAAAGGCTCTAGAGGTCAGGCACCCTAAGGTTGCTCAATTCAGGATGGAACTGTCATCAGGAATGCAGGATTTTTTTTCTGACTTGCCATCCTCAACCTAATAACTTTATTCTCAGACTCTCTCCTTTCATGAGAGTAAAATGGCTACAACTGTGTGTGTAAACATAAGAAAATGCAGTGCAAACAGTGGGTCAGATTTATTGTGTGTAATGAGCAAAGCTTCCCCAGAATTTTTCAGCAGACTTCTCCAAATATAAATGGATATAAATAAATACAAATATAAATAAGAATAAAATATAATTTTATTTCTGGGGAAGTCTTATAACCTTTTCTACCTCCAGCTGGCAAGGAGAATGAAATTTTTATAATTCCCTTAGGCTAACCACAATATAACAGTGTCACATGAGGGAGAATTAAACAAAATGAATAAAATTAATAGGGGGATTGAAAATGAGGTAGGCAACCACTTAAGTTTCCTATAGATATTATCTTTACTTTAATAAAATCAAGCTGAAGATTAAAGAAGTGGTAAAATCAGCATTATAGAAACGGGAATTTTTCAGAGGATAAGTTCACTGAGGAATAGTAGGGTTAAATATATTTAGTAGCTGGTTAGTATAAGCCAATAACCAAAAATGGGTTAGAAAGAAAGAAGAAATTTCCTTTGACTTAAGAAGGCAGTATCAGAATGACTATCATTACTTTCTTCTCTGGACCAGACCTGTAAGACAGAGACATAGCTCATTTTCTAAAAGCCTCCACCCCCACCTTTTAATTTTATTTTTCTAATTTAAGCAAAAAATTCTAGAGCATATTACAGGACAAGAGTAATGGAACAAAAGAAATCAAGTAACCACAGGGAAAATTATTTTAATAAGTTACTAATAGAGGGTAATGAGAACACTCACTGAAAGGTTGATCTTCGGCAACAGGAAATCTTTACAATGTTTAGGATGAATAAAAATGTACGTATATACCTGTCAAAGTTGGAAAATTATTAAGGGGAATATGCAGGCTTTGTTAG